TATAGGCTGGGGAGGAGGGAGTTGGGTTAATGACATCATAACCTGTCTTCAGGCACTTCCTTCACAAGTCCTGAAAGGGTGCACATGGGGTGGGGGTCTCTTCTGGTACTTTGTGAGAGAAGATGCCTCTGGGGGCCTTGGCCAGAGCTAAGACAGAAAGTATTCCATGCTAACCTTCTGTTGTGTGAATGGTGGCCCCTGCTTTAGAAAGGAGGACGAGGAGGAGGAAATAAGACTGTGGCTCCCAAAATAAAAGTCCCTCACTGGCTGAGGACTTTTCTGCAGGGGAACAGGCCAGAAGTAAAGCTCTGGCTTGAGATTTTTGGGGAGAAGAGAGCATTGGATATTTTATCTCAGGCCTACACGGGGGGGTGCACCTGTGACCCAACCACCTGCAACAGCAGCACAGCCACTTTCTGTGAGGTCCCTGCAGCTTTCAAAAGTCAGGAGCTCTGGGACAGGGGTACGGGGCCAAAGTGAGGTTGCCATGCCCCACCCTGAGCTGCCACTCTCACCTGCTCCACTGGGCAGTTCTGCCATGGGAGTGGTTGGAACTCCACCCTGCTGGCCTTGGGCAGCTGCACCTCCTAGGCTATTGGGATGTCAGGCATGGGAATCTGAACTGTGAGTCATCCACAGCTCACTGGATGACAGATTTAAAAAATAATCAAGCATTTCACACCCATCAGATTAGCAGAAAATTATAAAGTCTGAAACTACCAAGTAATGAGGAGCGATGAGGACTTTCATACACTGCTGGTGGAAGCTGGGGAAGGTCCAGACGTAGCCTGAAACCTATGCAATTTGGGGGACTTTTTAAATAAAAGAATACGAAATTAGGCAGAGTCTTGGAAGGGGCCTGGGTAAGTGGGGGTCATGGGTCAGTGGGGGTCCTGAACTTAATTAAACTTCATCAGCTTCCCAGTAAATCCACTCCTGGTGTAAACTGGAATAATCCTTTTGGACAGCAATGTGGTAACACCTGGGAAGATGAGAATGTGCATCCCCTATGACCCAGCAAGTCAAATCCTTTATGTGTTCATGGGAGAAATTTCTAAAATGTAACTATGGAGGTAAATACTAGAATGTTCTCAGTAATGCTGCCTGCAATAGTTAAAAGTAACAAATCAGAAATAGCCAAAATGTCCATCAACAGAAGAATGGATAAACAATGTCAACCTGCATAAATCTCAAAACGTGGTGTCAGGAAAGCAGGTTGCAGAGAAGGATATGCACAGTACGATACTATTATCATAAAGTGTCGGGCCAGCCCGTGGCTCACTCGGGAGAGTGTGGTGCTGATAACACCAAGGCCCTGGGTTCGGATCCCATATAGGGATGGCCAGTTTGCTCACTGGCTGAGCGTGGTGCTGACAACACCAAGTCAAGGGTTGAGATCCTCTTACCGGTCATCTTTTAAAACAAACAAAAAAAAGTGTGGAAGCATAAAACAGTGCCACGTGTAGCTCACATTATGTGTGCAGTAGAAGCCTGCACTGTGCGTGGGGGTAATGAACAGCACAGTCAGCCCAGAGTCCTGAGGATGGAGGACAGAGAGTAAGATAAGAACAGGATGTCCGGGGGGCTTAGATGTCTTACTTCCTTAATTCTAAAAGGCAAATAAGGCAAAATATTAAGATTTGACAAAGTTGGGTAATAATTATGTGGATGTTTGTTAAAGTATTATTTATATACTCTTTTGTAGTATTTGAAATATGTTTTTTTTTGTTTTTTTAAATTAATGTGAAATTCACATGTCAAAAAATTAACAATTTTAAATTGACCAGTTGAGTGGCACCATGACAGTCATGGTGTTGTGTAACCACCACTTCTATCTAATTTCAAAACATATTCATCACCCCGAAAGGACAGCCCATACTTACTAAGCAGTTGCTCCCCATTTCCTCCTCCCCTCAGTCCCTGCCAAACCACTGGTGTGTGTTCTGTCTCTATGCATTTACCCATTTTGGGTACTTTACGTCTGGCTTCTTTCACTTAGTGTAGAGTTTTCAAGGCTGATCAGCTTTGTAGTATGTGTCAGTGCTTCATTCCTTCCTGTGGCTGAATAACATTTCATTGTATGCATATATCACGTTTTGTTTTCCCAGCTCATCTGTTGATGGACATTTGGGCTGTTTCCACCCGTTGGTTATTGTGCATAGAGCTGCTATGAACAAGCATGTACCTGTACTTATTTGAGTCCCTACTTTGAACTATTTGGTTATATACCTAGGAGTGGAATTATGCCAAGTCATAGGGCACATAGGGTAAGTTTTTGAGGAACCACCAAACTGTTTTCCACAGCAGCTGCACCATCCTATGTTCCCACCAGCGTACACAGTTTCTCCTCATCCCGGCCAACACTCGCTATGTTCCATTTTTTTTTTTTTTTTCATAATAGCCATCCTAACAGGTGTGAAGTGGCACCTCATTGTGGTTTTCATGTGCTTATTGGCCATTTGTATATCTTCTTTGGAGAAATGTCTGTTCCTTTGCCCATTTTCTAATTGGGCTGTTTATCTTTTTGTTAATGAGTTGTAATATTCCATAATTTATTTTTAAAAAACCAAAAAAAATAAACCCTGCCAGCGGTGGCCTGAGCCTCTTCAGCCCTTTAATTCTCCATTCCTTCCACACAACAAAACACAAGCAGCTTTGTTTTTACAATCCACGCAGAGGGAAACTTAGAGGACTGGTGTCTGCTTTCTGCTCTTCTCTCCCAGGCATCCTGTGAGCCTACCCGCAATTTGGAGAGGAAGGAAGATTTAGAAATGACAATCCATCCAGGCCTCTCAGGACGTGGGGACAGAGGAGGAAGAAACTGAGATTGAGGTGAAGCAGCAACTTCTGAGACAGCTAAGAGGGAAGCGTCCTGGGCAAGGGGGAATTATTTCCCCTGGAGACCCCTAGTGTCACAGGTCACAAAACCGCCCTGGAGGAGTAAGTTTCCACTAATAGACGGTTTAGAGATTTCCCACACCCCTGCTCTCTCTGTCGGATGGCTGGGTTAAGAGGGATCCTCCTGTCCCCTCCGCCACAGATCAGATCGCCCTGTCTGGCTGGGCTGTTCCTATCCTCAGGGGCACTTCTTCCCCTGTGCTCAACTACTAAGAGGAGGCAGAGCTAGCACTGGGAGGCCACCCCTCCTGTGAAGCCAGGCCCACGCCACCTGCTGCCACCTGAGCCCAGACAGCTGAGGGTAGGAGGAGAGAGGTATACCAGAGTCTTTTGCAAAAGCATGAAGCCCAACTAACACACTTTCATGATTCTTGTTATAATGCTCCCCAAATAGCTACAAAGGCAGGGTAAGTCACTCATTAGGGCAATTTAAGAGATGCTAGATCTGCTTTGCTTAAAAACCTCTCTGCCCCATCACATCTCACCATTAGATGTTATCTCTTTTGGTCATGAAACTTGCCTTTTAAATACTTCTTTGTAAAGCCTCTGAAGGAACCACCCATTACTTACTTGCAGGTCTTGGACACTATATGCTCATTTTTGGAAATCCAACCCTGGGCAAACACTGGCTAAGAGTTGATAAAGAGAAGCACCCAGAGGAGCTATATGGGGAAAGAATGATCCTGTGGGTGCTCTCGAGTATGGGCCAGCCCTGTGGGGGTTCTGCACCTGCCATATGCCTGTGTCAAATACATTCAGCTGGCTGCTGTTCCAAGTTTTGCCTGGCAATTTTGAACATGGAAGGAACTGGGGGGTGGCAGGAGAGCTGGCTGAAGAGCTGACTGACCCTGGGCAAGCCCCTCCCTACTCTGGGCCTGGGTGTCTCCATCTATAAATGGGGGGAGGGGCGGGCTGGGGTCAATGGTGTCCAGGGTTTCTTCTGTGTGTCATTTCCTTGATCTTGATTCTGGTTATGCCCAGAATTTGAAGTCACTCTGGACACACCCAAGTTTGGACTCAAGTCTCATCACAAGTTCAATGATACCCCTGCTACAGGGCAGGTGCGGCCCCCTTTGCCCCTTCCTCTAAACCCTTCATAGATAACAGAACCTGCTGCCTTTGGTGCCCACACTTTCCTCTCTCCAATCGGGCAATAAGAAACCGAGATCCAGTTTTTGAACAGTTTCCAATATTTTCTTTCCCAACGAATTCTCCACACAGCTTGCTTCTGTGGTGGGAGCTCAGGAAAATGTGTCTCTGGGGCTGCAACGCACCACACCCACAGAAGGGATAAAACACATCCCTCCTAAGTAAGGGCCAGTGGCCCCGAGGACTTGAGACTGCCGCAGGTCCGACGCCTCCAGCCCACGGTAGGAAGCGCTTTCCCGCAGCCACAGGCAGGAAGCGGGACCAACCTCAGGTGCAGAGGCTTCGGGGCTGCTCAAGGTCACGCGAGGGACGCGGACCGCTCTCGCCAGCCCCCCTCCCCTGCCCCACCCCACACACGGGCACAGTGACTGCGGCGGCGGAGCAAACTATGGTCTGTTTTATTTCCAGATCAAATTTGTCGCAAATAGGTTCGCTCGCCAGAAACTTTTTAAAAAGCCAGGAGAGAATAATCCGGATTCCGCTCCTCCCAATCTCCAAACCTCGGTTAGTAATACCAAGGTTTTTCTTGCTTTTTTTTTTTTTTTTTTTTAACGAAACCCTCTCCCTGGAAAAAGCTGGGCACTTCTACAAGGACGGCGGTCTCCAAACAGGGACGAAGCGCGGGGAGGAGGGTCGGGCGCGCGGCTTTGGAACCAGCGCGCAAACAATGGGTCCCGCTTCCGACGTGCCCCAGGCTGCGAATTTGGTCTTTCCCCCTCAGTCCTGGAGACTGTTTCCCCCTTGTTGTTTGGTCTAGGAGGGGACAAACGACCGGGAGGGGAAGGGCCTTTCCCGGCGTAGCCCCGCATCCTGCTCCCGCTACCCCGATGCTCCCGGGACTCGCGCAGCCCGCGGATCCGGCCGGGACGGCCGTGGGGGCCCCACGAGAGCGCGCGGCTCAGCCCGTCCCCTCCCATCCCCGGGCCACTTAACCCTGCACCCGGGCCACTCACGAACTCGAAGATGAAAAGCAAGTCGGGGAAGGTGGTGAAGACCGAGAAGCCCCTGGGCAGGGGGCTGCCCCCCGGCGCCGCTGCGGGAGCCATGCCGGCGTTCTGGCGTTGGCCTGGCGACAGGACGCGAGGGGCTCCGGCTCCGCGCTGACGGCTCGCGTGTTCCGCGGAGCCCAGTGGCCCGGACGCCCGCGCGCGGGGGTTAAAAGCGACAGAGCTCGGGGCAGAAGGAGGAGGAGCCCGGGCCGCCGCCGCCCGCCCCGACCGATCCCCGCCCCAGGGGACCCGGCCGGGACGCCGCGGGCGCCTTCGGAACTACGCCGAGGGCACGCTGTGGGAGTGCCGAGTTGGGGACCGGGGCCCAACTCCTGCGTCCCACCCCTGGGTGCCATCTCTTGCGGAGAGCAAGACAAAGCCAATCTGGTGATCACCATGCCTTAACAATAACAACCATCAGTCAGCGGGGCCCCCGGAACCTCCCCACCATGACACCCCTCGGGTCGCCATTGCTTTAGCTTTTAAGTCGGGTGTCCTTCATCTTGGTGCTGGGTGCGTTAGTGTGCGCGACCTTCGCGCCCAGGCTCACGAGGGGACGCGTCCCCAGTCCTGACTGCCACTGCGGGCTGGGGGTCTGCAGGGCGGCGTGATACCTGCTCTGGCCACACACCCCTTGTTCTTGCGTCGTCGGAGCTCGGCGCCGCAACTGTGCACCGGGGGCCCCTCCGCTTGGTGCCGCAGCTGCGTGTCTGCGGGAGGGCGGCAGGTTGCGCTCAGCCGGCGTTGAATCCATGCGACAGGAAGCCCAGCTCTTCTGCGGGTGGGGCGACCCCGACCCTCCCGCGCACTGACTGCTGTTGACCGCCGGATTTTTTGTTTTGTGTTTGTGTATTTTGTTTTATTGTTTGTGTTTCCTTCACCGTAATTTCTTTACTCTTTTTTCCCTTTATTTTTAAACAAGTACCACACTCTAGTAGTTTCCGGTTTATTTTAATTTAGTATTAATAGTATTATTGCCGTGTTTTCTCTTACAAACACTAAAGCCTAAAATCTGCCCCCAAGTCCAGCGCATGCCACGAGGGAACCGAAGCCTCAGCCTCCAGTTCGGACTCACCAGTGTTTCTCCAGCTCTGCCCCGAGCTGCTGCTAGCAGGGCAGGGGTCTGCCCTCTCTCCAGTGGGGCCTTCACTCAGCCTTTCCGTGTACACAGCTCTTCTTCCTTCCCAGTCCCTATGGAGAGAAGTAAATTGCCGGATGTATTTTCCCAAACAAAAACCCACCCCCGTGAGCCAACCAGTCCCCCTGGGCCTCTGGAAGCCTCCTCCGGGCTGCCAGCCTTGGTGGCCTGCAACCGGGTCCCATTGTGTCAGGGTCCCAGGGCAGGACCTCTCTGGTCATAAAGGGCTGTGGAATTGTCAGGGACCCTACTCCCAGGTCCTTACGCACCCTAGACATCTTACAGGGTTGGACCTGCTGGCCCTTGAGAGGACATCATCTTCCTCCTGAGGAGATAGTGGTGGGGAGAAGCTTCAAAGTAGCTGGCTGCGCAAGAGACAAGCCTCAAGCAAGTGGAGCTGCTTGGTGTTTTCTCTATCAGTATATACTAATTAAAACCCACAAAGGGCCTATCAGTACTTAATAATGTCTTTGCCTGGGCTTGAGGGGTTTTGTTTTTTTGTTTTTGATTTGGTTGGGTTTTTTGCTAACTATTTCAAACCTTTGTTGCTAAATCCTTCAAACTTGGGCCTTGACTTTTGGGAAAAGGCCCAGCTCCCTGGTGCACCTCAGTGAAGTGCATCCAAGTCTCCTTTGATTAGGCGTAAGTGGAAACAGTCTCTGAAAGAGGCTACAGAGCATTAGGAAGACAACCTGTCCAAGGTCAAGGGGGCTTGTCCCTATCTCTGCGACCCCCTCATCTCACCTGGAGTCATTTGCTTTGATGTTCGTCTGCCCAACCAGACTCTACCCTCTGCAGGGCATCCCACATCCCACCCCATCTGCCCATCTCCTTCCCCTCCACACCATTTCCTTGGCACCTACCTGAGGGCCCAGCCCTGGAAGGTGCTCGGTAACCATTAGCCCAATGCCAGGATGGCCCCAGGCTTGTCTGGGCCAAACCCCAGAGGCTGAAGTGGACCGATAAGTCGAGGTGGGCCTGTCTCCATTCCCAGCAGAGCTTCTCCAGGATGCTCTGGGGCACTTGCTGATAATTTAGCGGGTTCATATTCATGAGAAGTCCAGGACCATACTTTGGTTTCCAGCAGGATATGAAAAAACAACCTCAGCCAATAATAACTATAGCAGCATCCTCAGTCTTCCTAGCAGCATTGTGGGTGTGAATGTGGGTACACCTGGGGTGGATCTGGGTCTTCCATCAAATATATTGCATGGCCTAGGGCAGGTTTCTAAAAGTAGAAACTGGAAAGTTATGATTGCTATGCTAGTCTGAGAGAAGAAGAGGTCACCTCCAGCTTGTGTGGGTGTGAATGTGTGTGTGTGGGTGTGAGAGAGTGTGTGTGTGTGTGTGTGTGTGTGTGTGTGTGAGTGAGTGTATCTAGAGAGGGTGGGAACTGGGAGAGAGGGACATGTCCAGAGAAGATTCATGGGGCAGGAATAGCCAGTAAATAGTAGCAGGTGTAATCTGCTTTTGAGTTTGGTAAGATGATTTCCATTTTACTGACGAGATAATAGAGACTCAGAAAGGTTAAGTAGCTGCCCAAGGCCACACAGCTGCTGAGTGATGGAGCTCAGCTTTGAAACTGGGCGATGCTGCATCTCTACAGTTAAGACCATGCTGAAGATGGGCAGCTGCCAATCAAATGCTTAGCTCCATGCAGACCATCCGCAGTCTCCCAAATCTGATCTGAGTGCTCATCTTGGGCATGGCCCTGGACACTTGTTTCCTGAGGCATTTCTGGACTTTTCCTCCCCTGACTGGGAACACAAGGAAGTTGGGGCTCATCATCCCCTTTATGGATGGGGAAGCTGAGTGCAGGCCTGAATTCAGAGAGCTACTGCAGGCCTGCACTTAGCCCGGGGGATTTTGTTTTTCTAGCATAGTCACCTGCAGCCGTGGATTTCCATAGAGGGCATGAAGCAATGAGGGCACCTGCTGGGCAGAGGGATCCATGACAGTAACAGCTGCCTGGGCATCAGAGGGCAGAGGGGAGCCAGCGTAACTGAGGGCCTACTGAGTGCCCAGCACCGCCGTGGGCGCTTTGCCCACATGGCCTCATCTAATCCCATAGAGCCTTGCTAGTAGGTGTCACCCCACCATACAGGCTTCGAGTGGGAGGTAATATGCCCAGGCCACATGGCAGGCAGCAAGTCTCTGGAATCCAGAAGGCAGGCTCTGTCCCCACTGCCTCAGGGTGGGCATGCTCCCTGCCTTTTTGAAGCTTATCATGCAGATAACAAAGATAACAATCAAATTATTATTATCCAAACAATAAATGTGTAATGATGCTTGGTGCTGGTGGAGAATGCAGGGAGCCCTAAGAGCATCTAGCAGCACAGCCTAGCCCGGTGTCAGGGGAGCTTGGGAGAGGAAATGCCTTGGGGCCGGTGAGCAGTGGGTGACAAGGTGAAGAGGACAGAGCCTTCCTGACACAAGAACAGTGTGTGCTGGGCCCCTGACTGTCTCCTGGAGGAGGGTCAGACACACACCTCACACTGCAGGGCTTCAAGCATACATAGGGAGGCCAATAATAAGGGTCAGAGGCAGGCAGTGGAGTAGGGGGCGGAAGCAGAATGTAAACAGCCAGTCCAGGGCAGGAGGAAAGAGGCATAGGTGGTGAGTTCTAGAAGAAGAGGACGCCAGGATGGATGCTGGCAGGGGAGTTTGAAGAAGGCCTGCGAGGCTGTGTGGAATTTGGGTGTGCAGAGAACGGGGAGGAAGGGTGCCAGGCCAAGGGAAGAACGTGGGCACATCCTGGGAATCAGGGTGGCTCCAGGCAGAGCTGGAAAGGCCATACGCAGGCTGGGCTCAGTAACAAGAGGCAAAATTGAAAGGGTATAAAGCGTACATGGAACTTAGCCATTTCCCCCTTGCAGCCCCTGCTGGAGGCCCATCCTCTCTGCCCCAGAGAGGGGCCAGACCGTGGACCTCCACAGGGCGCTCATGACCTGCCCAGCAAGTCGCACCAGGAATTGGGCCCAAGCTGCCCGAAACATCAGACACAGAGCAGGGCTGGGCCAATGGGTCCTCGGAATGCGGTCTCGGCAGGTTTGGGGCTGGGCTGGCTCGCTGCCGTGCTAAGCACCTTCCCTGAGGTTTCGCTCACAACACCCTCAGGTAGCCTTTGCCACACAGGGTGCCTCCTTAGGCTCCGAAGCAGTCATTGAGTAAATATCTGAATTCAGCAGATGCATCCTGGAACACCCTTGGCCCCTGGGCCTTTCCCTCTCGATCTCATACTTCTACTTGGGGCATCCTCTAAGGCCTCCCTGTGGGAACTGACTCCCTCATGGATGACCAGGAACTCACCTTCTAAGAAGCCACCTGGCCCTCTGATCAGGGAGAGAAAAAGGGGAACCTCTGAACCCCCTCCCCTAACCCTGGCGGTGGGCTCTCCTGCTATATATTCTTCTTAGCATTTCTTTTTGCTATTGGAAAAATACACGCGTACTTAGAAAACGTGGAAAAAGAACATTGTTTGAATATCCCGATGGTTTACAATGGATGGCCGCACCTATGATGTTTCAGCTTTAGAGTGGTGCAAAGGCTGGAAACCGTGCTCTGAGTACTCACGCAACCATTCTGTTTTTCACTTTCAGAATAGTATTCAATAAATTACATGGGTTATTCAACACTTTAGTATAAAACAGGCTTTGTGTTAGATGTTTTGCCCAACTCTAGGCTAATATAAGTGTTTTGAGTACATTTAAGATAGGCTAGGCTAAGCTATGATGTTTGGTAGGTTAGGCATATTAAATTCATTTTTGACTTAGGATATTTTCAACTTATGATGGGTTTATCAGGACATAACCCCATTGTAAGTCAAGGAGCATTTATACTAATGCCCCCTGACTCTTCCAAATCAAGGTAACTATTTTCATCTCTGCATATCTCTTGGAACTCATATAGAGGCAAATTCATTACCTCTCTGAGCTTCCATTTCCGGGTAGTGACCTGTCCATTCAGCCTCAAGAGCACTCTCCGAGTGCCACTCTCAA